GCCGCATCAGTCGCATGTAATATAGTTAAGCGCTGAAGCTGGGAGGGAAATGTCTTCAGATACAGGACTGATCCAGTACATGGTGCCTTTTTAAATTATTTATACCCCTTTTTACTTTTTTTCCGTTTTGTCCCAATAAAATAAAGAAAGGTAATGGGAGAAACCAAACATAGCAGTGAGTAATTGTAGGGTTGAAGTGAAACGTGAAAGTGAATAATTTTTTTCTTTAAAAAAATACAAAGCTCTTGAAGGTGTGACCACCTGTTAGCATTCAGTTCTTTTCACTCTTATACCCCTACTTCATTTAAGTAACAAATAGTATAATTTTATCATAAAAGCACCCAGTTGTGAAGGCCGCAGTTTTTTTTTAAGAAAACATCTGCGATGAAAGTTACAAATCAAGGCACGCACACTAAATTACCAATATATCACAGTCCACCAAACTAACAGGCCAGCCAAGAAGGACATTAATCTGAGAAGCAGCCAAAGTGGCCAGTGGCAACTTTAGAGAGTCCTCAGTGATCCACAGACATTAATATGCAATTTCTAAAGGTTTGAGCATTTCAGAAAGTACTGTTTACCCCATCATCTGTAGATGAAAGGACGATGACACGGATTCAAAACCAAGGCATTGCTGTCCACCTAAATTGACAGGTTGAGCAGGGAGATCTTCTATCCAAAACTTGTTGGAACATTAGAAGTTCGTTTACATTAAAATTATTCATTTTTCGAATCCAGTGTTGGGAGTTATAGTTATAATACTGCACTAGTCCAATTAAATAAGTATTTTTTCCCAGCGTTTTTATTGTCATTACACTTTCACGAGTACAGAGCAACGAAATCAGCTCTCTGCATTTAACCCATCCCCTTGGGGAGTGGTGGGCTGCCATTGTGCGGCACCTGGGGAGCAGTGCAGGATGGTAGTCTGTGGGATTATGGCTTCAACTCACAACCTCTGGATTCCAAGTACAATGGACTAAACCCCTATTTTGCACATATTGATAACATCGTTACTACAACTGGATTATTCAAAGGGACTTTTCGAAAGTGCTGGCTCTCTCTGCAAAAAAAAATTGCAAAAAAAAAAAAAGGTTTTAAAATATCTAATTTGCTTTATTGTTCTTTTATCATAAAAAAAAAACATAATTACTTATCCATACTTATCCCACTACTTACAACAAACTGCTGCAGATTAGCATAGTGTTTTTGATAATAAGTCCTATTGATTACTTAGTTATTTTAATTATTAGTATCAGACATCTTATAAAAAATAATTTTAGAACTGTAAATATACAGTCATATGTTTATATTACTTTTTTTATTTATTTATTACTGTTTTCAAGGGTGTACTTAAAAAAAATTAAATTGTCTAGCGCTGTTTTAAATTAAATTTCTTTTTGTATACACTCGTGTGTACAAAAGGAAAAGTCTAAGTTATATATTTTATACTTGAACGCTCAGTTTTATTTAAAGTTCCAATAAAAGGAACTTTATCCAAATAAATCCACATTTAAATCATAAAGATGAACTGCATAGTTACTTTGCCTAGAATCTAGTTACTCTGATTGCCCAGTTACCGAGTTACTAACTTGGTTACTTTTTTTGGAGAACTAAGTAGTAACAGTGAGAAGTAAATAGTAGTAATGTTTCCAGCACTGTACGAATCTAAAGTTTCAAGTGGCAAATAAAAAGTTATTAAAAGAAAGCTACTTTTGGAATTTGTCACAAGTGATAGAGATACAGAAATAAAAGGAATGGTAGGAAATAATATACTCTGGTCAGATAGGACCAAAATTGAACCCTTTGACCTTTACACAAAATCTGTTCAAGAGATATTGCAAAAAAACAAACAAAACAATGATAAGTCCTTCATATCAATGTAAACCCATGATGCAGTGGTGGTGGCATCGCCACTGTTGAGTGGAAGTATTTCTTTACTTAGACGCTGTGAAAATTTGTTGGAAAGATGACAGTAGCTAAATACAGGAAGATCCTGGTAGAGAAATGCTGTAAAAGGATTTAGACTGGGCTGGAAATTAGTAGCAGAAAAACCCAAAAATGTTTTCTGGGAATGGAAATGTACAATGGAATTATTAACATGAAATAATTACCATATCTGCTTTGGAAAAGCCCTGTAAAAAACAGACCTGAATCTAATTAAGAATGTGGTCCAGAACTTTCAGGCAATATGAAAGTGATTGTTGGTTGTTTGGATTGATTGTGAGGGGCCTAAACCCAAACCAATCCCATACTTTTTAGATATACAGGTGCTGGTCATAAAATTAGAATATCATGAAAAAGTAGATTGATTTCAGTAATTCCATTTAAAAAGTGAAACTTGTATATTATATTCATACATTACATACAAACTCATATATTTCAGATGTTTATTTTGTTTAATTTTGATGATTACAAATGACAACAAATGAAAATCTCAAATTCATCATATCAGAAAATTAGAATATTGTGAAAAGGTTCAAAATTGATGGCCCCTGGTGCCACACTCTAATCAGCTAATTAACTGAAACCACCTGCAAAAGCCTTTAAATGGTCTTTCAGTCTAGTTCTATAGGCTACACAATCATGGGGAAGACTGCTGACTTGACAGTTGTCCAAAAGACGACCATCGACACCTTGCACAAGGAGGGCAAGACACAAAAGGTCATCGCTAAAGAGGCTGGCTGTTCACAGAGCTCAGTGTCCAAGCCAATTAATAGAGAGGCGAAGGGAAGGAAAAGATGTGGTCGACAAAAGTGTACAAGCAAGAGAGATAACCGCACCCTGGAGAGGATTGTGAAACAAAACCCCTTCAAAAATGTGGGGGAGATTCACAAAGAGTGGACTGCAGCTGGAGTGAGTGCTTCAAGAACCACCACACACAGACGTATGAAAGACATGGGTTTCTGCTGTCGCATTCCTTGTGTCAAGCCACTCTTGAACCACAGACAGCGTCAGAAGCGTCTTGCCTGGGCTAAAGAGAAACAGGACTGGACTGCTGGTGAGTGGTCCAAAGTCATGTTCTCTGATGAAAGTAAATTTTGCATTTCCTTTGGAAATCAAGGTCCCAGAGTCTGGAGGAAAAGAAGAGAGGCACTTCATCCACGTTGCTTGAAGTCCAGTGTAAAGTTTCCACAGTCAGTGATGGTTTGGGGTGCCATGTCATCTGCTGGTGTTGGTCCATTGTGTTTTCTGAGGTCCAGGGTCAACGCAGCCACATACCAGGAAGTTTTAGAGCACTTCATGCTTCCTGCAGCTGACCAACTTTTTGGAGATGCAGATTTCATTTTCCAACAGGACTTGGCACCTGCACACAGTGCCAAAGCTACCAGTACCTGGTTGAAGGACCATGGTATCCCTGTTCTTAATTGGCCAGCAAACTCTCCTGACCTTAACCCCATAGAAAATCTATGGGGTATTGTGAAGAAGAAGATGCAATACACCAGACCCAACAATTCAGAAGAGCTAAAAGCCACTATTAGAGCAACCTGGGCTATCATAACACCTGAGCAGTGCCACAGACTGATCGACTCCATGCCACGCCGCATTGCTGCAGTAATACAGGCCAAAGGAGGCCCAACTAAATACTGAGTGCTGTACATGCTCATACTTTTCATGTTCATACTTTTCAGTTGGCCAACATTTCTATAAATCCTTTGTTTTTATTGGTCTTCAGTAATATTCTAATTTTCTGATATGATGAATTTGAGATTTTCATTTGTTGTCATTTGTAATCATCAAAATTAAACAAAATAAACATCTGAAATATATGAGTTTGTATGTAATGTATGAATATAATATACAAGTTTCACTTTTTAAATGGAATTACTGAAATCAATCTACTTTTTCATGATATTCTAATTTTATGACCAGCACCTGTATGCAAAAATGTAAAGAATGAAAATACATAATCAGCTGCACCTTTGTGTTTGATTTTAACAAAAAAATCCATATATTACACTCTGTGCTTTGACAAAATTTGTTACTGGTCAGGGAATAAATAATTTTAAGGAACTCTATAAGGCTGCTTAGCACCATAAACCAAATAGTTTGGGCTGTGTTTCTGCCACAGAGCGATCAATCTGACTGAAGCTTTGCAGACACCGCTGTTAGAATGCAAGATGGAGAGCTTGATGAGGTGGACGCAGGGTCGAGGCGGGGGGAATAATGGAACTGAGGGATAGAGGGATCAGGCGTTAGGACGCAGTAGGAGACTTGTGACCAGGTTCTTTCTATTAACTTAGGAGGCTGGCTGGGGCAGGAGGGAGGAATAAGGCTTGGCTCTGCCCTCTGCCTGCCCAGTTGTTAGACCAAGCATCCAGACTTCTGATAGGGAGAGACGAATATTGCTCAGAGGTTGGCTGGCGATTGACCCTGTGTTTTCATCAACCTGCGCTAGCCTGATAACATTTCTCACTCCAAGAAAAATCCAAAAAGTAGGCTTAGAGAACTTTTAGCTGCTTCTTGTTTTTTTGTTTTTTTGTTTTTCTTTTCAATTTCCTTTCCTCTTGCTTTAGTGAAGAAAAAACAAATCTGTAATAATAGAGATCAGAATGATTTTCTGATAACAAAATTAGTATGTAATGAAAATCTCATGCAAATCACAACTACAATTTTATCCATATGTGAATTTTGACTTTTATCAACATAAAAATGAAAAAATTGCTATCTGTGGAGACTCTTGAGTCGCTGAACAGGACTTTTTCTGCTTGTCCCCATTATGCATAGTCTGTAATCATCACTCACTCACAGCTAATTATGCACCACACGCCACCATCATTGCATGTTCACTTCAAGACCTTGAAGAACTGTTCACGGTGCTGCATTTACACATTTTATCCAATTTTTAGGGAAATAATCTATTACAAACACATTTGTTGTTCAAAATGATTTTTGGGCCACTGGATAAAAAGCTCCTTCGAAAGCACTGGATAATTTGCTTTTCCTTTCTCACCTCTGTTCTCTGCACTAATCATTGTTGTTTGTGGCTCTCTCTGCTGCAGCTCTCTGGACTGTCCCCTGGAGACAACCAGACCCCAGGACTGCTGCTGGCTCCAGGAGTCAGGTGGGGACAGATGCCTATCAACCAGCTCACGCCCTGGGATACAGACGAACCTCCTGCCAAGCAACACAGAGATGGTGAGCCCACAGGTAATGAGTCACCCACACGGCATTTCCATAAAAGCACCACATGCATTTATAAGTTGCATCTGAGATGGGTTTACAGAGTTGTATATCATTAGTATGCATCTGTGCAGCAGATGTACACATGTGTGGGGTTTTCTATCACACGCTACACCCCTGTCAGCCATGGCTGGCTACACCCACACCTAATGGTAATGAGGCATTCTGCCCTACAAAAAGTACAGCTACAGTATGTGTCACAAGTATGCGTACTTTACACATGTAATCATGCGTGGTATGCGTATCAATATATTTACATGAAATATCACCAGGCAAACAGTGCCATATAAAATAATCAGTGCCATTAGAACTTTTTCATATTTTGATTTGGGACAAAACATAAGTCTATTGGAAATGAATCTTACTGTTTAACAAAGAGCTATTCCTAAGGTACTACAAATTTTATATAACAAAAATCTTGTTTTTAACTGCAAAACAAATGAGAATTTTATTGTCTTCAGAGTATCAGTTTGTAAACTGTTGCATTCACAAACATACAATTAAAGGTATAGTGGTGGATGTTCTTTTTCCGGGTGGATCATCAAAATAAGTGGTCCTTCTAACTGTCAGTTATTCTGCTGATATGTTTGCGTAAGGCCATCCTACGTGCGTGTCTCTATTTTCACCAACCAGTGGTGAGTCTGACATAGTGAAAAATTGCAAATTTCTTTTGGAAAGTAAGCTTGTATGAGTGATACAAACTGCAACTTTAAACATAGTGTGCCCGATGAGAAATGGGCTTGTGGACGCTCTCACGAATGCATTTAATAGGCATTCCCTCTCGGGAATGGATACAGGGTTGTGCATGTTCTTTTTTTTCTTTTTTAAGTTTAAAAAAATTTGCTAAAATCCTCCACTATTCCTTTAATCAAGAGCTGTTTTAAAAACCCAGTTTTACTTATTTTATTGCTTTTTTCTTTCTTTTCAGTTTTGTATGTAGACTAAAAATGTAACTTTAGTTCTACTTTGACCCGAACTCCTTTATCACATTTGCTGTTTCTTCCTCGTTGCTTCTAACACTGCAAAAAGGATCTAGAAATAAATACAAATTTCTTAAATTTGGTGTATTTACCCTTAATTTTAGGACGTAAATGAAACAATTTTCCAATAGAATGAGATTTTTCGCTCTTAAAATAGGATAATTAGATAATGCACTTGAAATAAGACAAAACCATTGTTTTTTTTTTTCTTATTTTAAATGTCATGTCTTGTTCCATTTATTTTAAGAAAAAAATAACTTATTTAGATTTTAATGTTTTTGCCGTGTTCAAACTTAAAACCAGACTTCTTGTCTCTTTCAATATACACTATATTGCCAAAAGTATTTGCTCACCTGCCTTGACTCACATATGAGCTTAAGTGACATCCCGTTCCTAATCCATAGGGTTCAATATGACGTCGGTCCACCCTTTGCAGCTAGAACAGCTTCAACTCTTCTGGGAAGGCTGTCCACAAGGTTTAGGAGTGTGTTTATGGGAATTTTTGACCATTCTTCCAGAAGCGCATTTGTGAGGTCGCACACTGATGTTGGACGAGAAGGCCTGGCTCTCAGTCTCCGCTCTAATTCATCCCAAAGGTGTTCTATCGGGTTGAGGTCAGGACTCTGTGCAGGCCAGTCAAGTTCATCCACACCAGACTCTGTCATCCATGTCTTTATGGACCTTGCTTTGTGCACTGGTGCACAGTCATGTTGGAAGAGGAAGGGGCCAGCTCCAAACTGTTCCCACAAAGTTGGGAGCATGGAATTGTCCAAAATGTCTTGGTATGCTGAAGCATTCAGAGTTCCTTTCACTGGAACTAAGGGGCCAAGCCCAGCTCCTGAAAAACAACCTCACACCATAATCCCCCCTCCACCAAACTTTACACTTGGCACAATGCAGTCAGACAAGTACCGTTCTCCTGGCAACCGCCAAACCCAGACCCGTCCATCAGATTGCCAGATGGAGAAGCGCGATTCGTCACTCCAGAGAACGCGTCTCCACTGCTCTAGAGTCCAGTGGCGGCGTGCTTTACACCACCGCATCCGACGCTTTGCATTGCACTTGGTGATGTATGGCTTGGATGCAGCTGCTCGACCATGGAAACCCATTCCATGAAGCTCTCTGCGCACTGTTCTTGAGCTAATCTGAAGGCCACATGAAGTTTGGAGGTCTGTAGTGATTGACTCTGCAGAAAGTTGGCGACCTCTTCGCACTATGCGCGTCAGCATCCGCTGACCCCGCTCCGTCAGTTTACGTGGCCTACCACTTCGTGGCTGAGTTGCTGTCGTTCCCAAACACTTCCATTTTCTTATAATACAGCTGACAGTTGACTGTGGAATATTTAGGAGCGAGGAAATTTCACGACTGGATTTGTTGCACAGGTGGCATCCTATCACAGTTCCACGCTGGAATTCACTGAGCTCCTGAGAGCGACCCATTCTTTCACAAATGTTTGTAAAAACAGTCTGCATGCCTAGGTGCTTGAATTTATACACCTGTGGCCATGGAAGTGATTGGAACACCTGATTCCAATAATTTGGATGGGTGAGCAAATACTTTTGGCAATATAGTGTATCTCTTCTTGCCTCTCTATCCTAAAGGTCAGCAGAGGGAAACACATGACTTTGCACATTAAAACTTCTGCACCCTGTTTATTTTCTCTCATAAATCCTCAATATCTTCACAGAGCAGTTAAATTTACTCTTATATTACATCACACAGATTTACTATTAATAATATCCTTGTGACTCTTCATTTTCAAATGATTTTGTAATTTGTGATTATGTATCAAATTAAATTTTAATAAATTAAGTCTATTGTATTTATCTTTTTCCACACAACTAAATGTGAAAGGGGTGTGAAAACATTTAAAAGGTATTGTGTGAATATAAGAATATTTAGTGATCAGCTGAGAAAGATGAGAAAAGCCCATCTTATTGCAGGAATTAGGCACTTTATTGTCCTTGTCATAGCACTAAAAAAGGGCTCCGGAAATAAATGAGTCTGTTACATCTGTACAGTAAAAGTCCTTTAAATGTGGACCTTTTAAAAAAAAAAAATGCATTTATGAAACCTGTACGCTTTGATGATGCCGCTACTCTTCAGCGAAACAGACCCGCCATTAATGGGTTAAACCGTATTGAGGCTTCCTTTTTTTTTTTTTACTTGTGCTGTAATGAAGTCGCCCAGAATGGCTATGCCCCGGAGCTGTTCATTTCCTTCCTTTGCTCTGCCGGCCTCTGCCTCCTGCTCATCACAAATGTGTCTCATTTAAGAATAATACGTGCACCTAGCTGGATGCTGCAGAAATTCTGGCTCTACAAATTTACACCATAGACAGCTGTTTCTCTGTGGTGGCAAACATTGTAAAAATGTGAAAGCCATAGTGTGTGAAACTAGAGTGCCTTCCAATTAGAATTTGATGATCTTAAATGCAAATGGATAATTGATTAAATATTAAATTGCTTCCTTAGCAACTAAAGGAGCATTTCTTTCAGTTGAAAATGCACCATTATCCAGTAAGCTTCCACTCCTAGCACAGCAGCACCCACCCCCACCCAAACCACAGCTCAGAGTGAAGCGAGAGGAGAGTGAGATGTCGCCAGCCCACCACAGTGTCACATATGACACTCAAATCCGAGCATAGTGTTGCATAGTGATTTGCGTGCATGCGCTATTCCAAACTGAGAGTGGCGTTTGTGACGAAGCCAGCTCCTCGCCACACTTCACTGAACTGTGTTGCCAGAAAGTTCTCTGCCAACTTGCCAGAATTAATCAACGCAAAAAAAAAAAAAAAAACTTCACTCTGGTTTTTCTTTTCTGTTAGAAAAAGTTTGTAATTGACAAAAGTTTTTTTCCCCTTCGGCTTCAGTTTTCGGTGCAACTATATATATATATATATATTTTTTTTTTTTTTTTTTATGCTAGGCTTAGATGGAAGAAAGAAATGGAGCTGATTAATAATCAATAGGATGATTTGAATTTAGTATTTGACAGGCAATTAAAAACGTGGAATATGTTTATATTAATGCAGTTTCTTCATGTCATTCAACTTTGTACTGTAGGCAAGGACTGCAAATGTAGGTCACTGTGAGCTTCCGATTACTTTCTTGGCCAGTGTCTGAACATGTAAAAAAAGAATAAACCTGAAAGAGTGCATTTGTGTGAAATCCTGATCATACACCGCTGTTGGTTTTAAGACTTTGGACCGTATTGCATACGGAATAAAATACATTTTCAAGGAAGATGCACAAATCAAAGAAAATCAAACGCTTTAGTGTTGATTAGCTCCATGATGCAGTATGTGATAACAGGGTGAACTTGCCTCTCCCCTGCAGAACTCACTTTCATTCCCCTTTTTCTCTCTCTCTCTGAGTCTTTTCCTTTTTCCTCTTTCCAGATTATTATATCAGCAGGGTTGGTAATGTAAATAATGTGGGCTTCTTTTCCCCCAGCTTTTTGCATGCTGCGATTTAGCCTTTAGCCCCTTAGCAGAGTGCTTGGCTATTTTTGGAGCTTGGACCCTGGCAGAAGGAGTCGGAGATGAAGGAGTAGGAGGGAGTGAGTTTGTGAGGGAGGGAGGAAGCATTCAGGTCCAATGTGGCTAGCACACCCTCAGCATCTATCGCCTCAGGGAAGAGAGATGATTGGCTCGGAGTGTGTGGGTAAACACAGACTTGTGCATCAATGATGCCAAATGCTGCATGAAGCATAAAAGCTCTCGACTTCAAAAATCTATTTATTGGTTCTGTAGTGATATAAAATCTATTAATCTAAGTTATACAACTTTTGTGTCAGATCATTAATAAATTAAATATTCCTCTAATTATTCATGAGTCTCATATCAACATGGACTAGGCTAATTCATGGTGTGGAAAGGTTGTTGGAGTCTGTCGCCTCTGCAGATTTTCACTTTGGATGTTGGACTGAAAATCCATTATGTAAACAGTTTTATGACTCAAACAGCATTTTCACTGTAAAAAAGTTTTTTTTTTTTTTTTTTATGTAGATTCGTTATTACACTGTTTTAGCTGTAAAATAATGTTTAAAGTTTTAATATGTAATGTTAGGTTGTCCCAATCAGAAGCACTGATATTCAACACACATCAGAGTTGTTCAAATAAAAACATCTGTTTTTTTTTTTGTGTGCTAAAAATTAATTTAAATTACTCTAATACAAAGTTAAAATCAATGCAATGGATTTGTCTTGAAGCACAGTAGCAAGTGCTTTAGATTAACAGGATTGCAAGATAGCATAAGCTACATTAATGTTAAGTCACGTTTAACTCTCTAACCAGTGATATTCTAGATACTGTAGTGTTAAATCATGTTTTTTCATATATTTGATAATAATCCAAGCACAGAAGGTCAAATAAACCAGACTTGACAATGATAGATGCAGTTTAAAGTTAAGTCTTATTAAAATTCACATGTAGAGCAGTTATCTAAAATGCCAGCCTACATATAATGTTTACTGTTTTTTGATGCCACAAACATTCTGTTAATTGTGGATTTAACTTAAAGGTTTTTTTTTTTTTGTTGCACAAACTTGGTACTGCTCCCTGAGCATCATAATATTTAATGATTAGTGTTACAGCTGCTCTTTGCAGTTTTTTTTCCCCCAGTGGGGACAACTGTTTGAGCACAACACACAGATCAAGCCTGTGACATTTTAAAGGAAAATAAAACAGACTCTGATGGTCAAAGGAAGTAAAAATCAATTATATCAACAAAATAATGAGCTGCATCCACAGTACATACATACAGTAGGTGGTGATTCTTAAAAAGCAATGATATGTCTTGCTGTGTGTACTGCTAATATAAAATTACAAGCAGTACATATACGGTAAGCTGATGAGTTTATTCAGAGACCCAAACACTGCTCATTAAATTAAAACCTAATGGAACCATTCAATAATACTTGATTTATTAGATTAGGACAATCTTGATTTTAAATGAATCCTTAAAGAATTATGAATTGAATCTAATGAAAAACTTTTTTTCTCGAGAAGTCTAGTTAGTGGAGAGCATTACATTCTTTATTTTTATTTTTTTTTATCAATATAGCCTATCAAATGGGTAAATAATAAAGTGAAATTATGTATGAATTGTATATTAATGATAATTTTTTTTTTTTTATTATCCATTTTTTCATGTCCTGAAAAAGGTTTTGCATCTACAGTGTTAAGCTTAGTTGTTAAAAACCTGCTTCAAAATGTCCGTAAAGAGAATTCAGAAATTCATTTGTCAGAATCAAAATATGTCAAATCTATTTGAAAAATAAAAATAAAAATTCAGATAATCACTTTTTATTGTTTATTTCAGGTGTTACATTTTGACATTAAGCAAAACATTATTTAACCAGAAAGAGGAATAATATATAAAGGACTGCTTATTTTCACTAAGTTGTAGTGTAGACATGAAACGAAAATATATAATATATGTATGCATATATAATATGCAGCATCTTGTCATTTTCACCTATTTATGTTTTCATATTATGCTATGCTATTAAATTATGTATTAACAATTGTGCAGTGAAAACTAAAGGAGAATAAAGATTAAAATGTTTCATCTTATCTACCATAAGATGTATTAGGTTTGATTGCCCTAAATGCTGCCTTCTATCATCTTGTACTGATAAAGAGGTGGACATATGTGTATGCAAACTGAATAAAGTGATTGTTTCTTTCATCCTGTTGCATTTATATACACTTTCCTGTTTGTCTAACAGGTCCAGCCTGGGCTACACCAGTAGCTGCTGTGAGCCAGCAGAGTCTCCTTCCCCATTCTTATGGCCTCCCTCAACCTCCGTCCTTTAGCCACAGTGTGACCGTCCAGTCACCCCTCTTAGGGGTAACCCCTTCGATCCAGACACCGGGGGCTCCACAGCATCCCCTCATGACCACCCACTTCCAGCTCACGCCACAGTCAACTCAGCAGGGGCCCTCCTTGGTGCTGAGCATGCCCAGTCAGCCTCCATATCCTGCAGCTCAGCCCAGAGTTACGCCATCCGGCCTCGCTGCCCAAGCCAACCAGGTGGTTCATCCAAACCCTCACAGCATGATGGGCAACGGCCACTTAACCTCTCACTCCAGCCTCCTCCAGCCCCCTTCTCTGCCTCTCACCAATGGACAGGCTGCAGTGCATGCTCAGAATACAGCTGCAGACAATCAGGACAGCCCCAATGGGTTGCAAATGTTGCGGACAGTCGGGAGTGGGAAGTACGAGTTCAGTGACCCGGGACACCCCAAAGGTAAGCCCAAGTAATTCTCACCAATGCACTCTTAATTTTATACTTTGACTTTTTTCCTTCTGATTCTACCTGTAAATTGTTTATAGATTTGTGTTTTTAACAGGGAAATCCAAGCTGACACATTTTTTTTATCAAATCACAGGCTTTTTTTTGCTTGCGACCTCCTCTGATATGGGGTCTCTATGGAATGAAACACACAGGCTTGTGCTTTCTGTTTGTAAATAAGAGCCGTTTCACATTCCGGCAGCTACTAAAAAGGCTCTAAACATTCAGGCAATAGGTTGTCAAGATACAATTTGCAACCATAGCGAATTTACCTTAAAGCTTCTCCAAGGTTGCAGAGAATAGAGGTGTGACTAAAACCTGGTCTACTTCTTATAAGCCGTTCTTCGCTGAAAGTGTTGGACTGATCCCAAACTGCTATACCATACCAAACATCTGTAATATTGTGCTTTGAAATTGGTTTTCTCTGTGTCAGGTTAATCCTTTTTTTTGCTCTTGGTTGCAATACACACAAGTCCTACTAAAGACAAGGCAGGAAGAGCTTTCAGTCCCTGCCCTCACATCTCTTTTGAAATCTTTTGAAGCCTTGTTGATTCGCGCTGTGTTTGTGAGGGTGCCTCACAGCTCCACCTCATGCCTGAGCCTGCAAAGCCAGAAATCAGTGTTTGCTTTAACCTTGCCGTTTATTACGCAGACTGCTAGAAACAGATGTTCGCAATTCCCAAACCAATTTTCACATTTAATGAAGCTTTTAATTTAGGCTTAGATTGTTTTCTTTTACCTGACTCATTTTGATCAATAAAATGGCTTCCAATGAACCTGTAGATTGCAAAAAGCAATTATTTTGAGCGGCTGCCTGTGATACATTGAAATGAGGCTGCAGGTAGAAATGGAAGTGGATAATTGGATAGGCTCATCTGCTTTGTCCGGTTGAATACGAACTTTTTAGACACTTTAATGCTTAATAGACTGTTAGGACTCATTTACGTGGTAAAATGTATTCTCCCTGGCCAAAGACATATAGAGCCTGATTGGAAGTGCTGTAATTGTTGAGATCCCAGATTTTCTTCCTGAAAAGCACTAGATAGATTCCAGTCTGTAAGTCATGAAGGTAATGTGACAAACTCAGCAAAAATAGGTGAACCAGTCAGCGTCATTTAATTAGCAGCGATAACATCTCCTCAGCAGCATCTCTAGGCTGACAGGAATCCTTTATGTCTCTGCTGGTATCACATTGATGCTCTGGCTATCCATGCCTGTTCAGTCCCAGCATCTCTTTTTAAGCTCCAGCTTTTTTCATGAGGTCCCAACTCCCAACCTACAACGGATGTTATCTTGTCTGTTTTAAATCAATGAACACTGAATTTAAATGTGGCAAAGGTACCTTCTGTCCTACTGTTATGGCATAATGTTGAAATATTGAGGGAAAGCTGTGGAAAGGAATCTTTCGTCAGTTGTTGTGCCAACTTTCTGTCTAGATAATTTTTTTTTATAAGTTACAAAGGTATGAAGGGGTTGGGCTACATAAAGTACAAAGAAAAAGCAGATCGGAATAACTTTATTTGCCATTGTAAAGAGCACAACGAAATTTGTTCCAGAGCAACCCGTTCAATAGACACAGTAGAACAACGTACATGGGGAGACAGGGGCCTGCAGCCATTGGAAGGCGCTATCCTTGGGCTAGAAGATAACTGCAAACACAGGGGGATAGATGTGGATAAACGCATACTTGGTACACCCCTGTATGGAGATGCAAATCATATGTACAGTAATCCTGGCAAATCTATTTTTTTTTTTAGCAGCGAGGATAGATTTTCAGCAGATAGATTTTCAGACAGTAAATTATCTGTAAAAACCTTGAAAAACTATTTTCAGTAATATCCATTATCAGGAATACAAATATTCACATAATACAGGTTTTGTACTGGCTGTATATAATATCACGGCAAGATAATGCTTAGAATAAGACATGTATTTTATCAATTTAGATTTATAATAAAGATGCAATTATCTAACCTTGAACGCAAGATTAATTGTTGTTAGTGTTGTTAATTCACCAGAAAGATACATCTTGCCAGAAGCCAATAGATGTTTTAGCCTAAATACAGAAATGTTTCAGTCCAATGAAATATAGTGATGTCTATGATGTCAACCAGAAGAACCAGGCTGAAGCAGAACAAACCTGGCTGCACCATTTCTCTAAACTCTGCTATTTAGTCTGTTTAGGTAGAATATCCTTCATTTCTTTTTGAAAAAATGAGCAAAGGGCGTGATGTTTGCCTTTATTGGTCGGTAAGATGTTTGTTCCTTCCGAACAGATTTGGTAAGAGATTGATTTATCAGTTAACTCCGTAAGTTCTGAAGCTAATAAAGAATATGATGCGCCACAGCTGCTTCTGTTGCTGCGTTTGGATAAAAGCTCGACATGGAGGCATGATTTACCCAATCAGCTTGAAGAATTGTACTGATTCTCCCTCCCTTTGGCAAACTCTCCACATGAACCTTTCCAGATAGATACTGTGTAGAGTTAAATTTGAACTACATGGATCAATCTGGTTTATGTTACATTATTCCATACCACGATTTATCTTGCATTGATACCATTTTTTTAATCTTTCTTTCATGTCTGTCCTTAAAAATTACAATTTCTATTGGGTCAAGAAAAAAAAAAAGTTTTGGACTATTCCTATTTATGCTTCCAAGCTGGTGCTTGTCTTGTATATTTGAGAAATGGGGAAAGAGAAATGTGATTATTCAGTATTTGACCTACTGTTCACCATCTAAATCCAGTCGTAGGGAGAGTGGATTAGTCTGATCCAGGATTCATTTTGGACCAGATAGTGACGCCATACATCATCCAAAAGCCATTGTCCTGTTTTAGTAGCAGTGATGTTTTAGCTGATTTGCTCTAGTACTTCAAGCATAAACAAGAAAAAAAAACATTTACTAATGAATTAAACAGACTATGGCATCTTCAATGATTGTGTGCAAACAGAAAAAAATAGACATATCTGTTGGATTTTGCCAGATTACAGTAGCAGCCATTCAAAATGGTTCTTTCCAGCTGAAAGGCTGCCGATTTTCAGCCCACTTCCCTCCAACTCCCAGCGAAATCCCCTCCAACTTCCAGCCTCTAGAGTGACCCGGCATGCAAATTTCTTTTTACGCTTACTCCTGAATTACAGGGTCTGACCAGAAGATGATGGTTCTCTTTAGATATTAATGTTCGCAAATTATGACAGAATATTTTAGTACAAATATTAAATAAATAATGTAAAAGGAGACCAGGCAAGGGCCCATCAAGGAAAGTGGGGTAATTTTTAATGGCTACTACTGTACTTACAGTTTCAAAGCAGAGGTGGAGCCTTTCAGCCCTCTGCCTGTTCAGCATCACCGTGTTTGGAGACATTTTAGTTAGAAAAGTAGAGATTGAGATAAAATGCTAGATTACTGATTGTGTGTTGTACAAATATTTGAAGTGGTGACAGTTTTCTGATTGTGAGAGGAATATTACCGGAGGAGAATACTCCATGCAGAGACACATGAGGAGCTTCAGCAGACAACAGAATTAATTAGTGAGTCTTCATTTTATTTCAGATTTGTATTTTTTTGCTGTGATGGAATATGTAGGAGAAATGTTGGAAGTTTGTTTGTTTGACTTTTAGACAATATATGTATGTAAGCCTCTATAGGGACTGCTGCTTAAGTTGCCTGTGCTAATGATTGACTGGAGCAGATCTATTTTTAAAGCAGGATTGTGTTGATTTGCTCTAATTTTGAACATAAACAGTTTATTTTGATACAGAAATCCAAAATGTATATCAAAATCCACCCACATTAATAAATTAAAGGACATTTTAAGTGATTGATTGATTGATTTTATTGATCTCACAGAAGAGAACTTTACTCGTTAAATCGGCTCAAATATTAAAAAAAATAAGAAGGTGCCAAAGGAAGAAAAAGGGTGCATGGAAAATATACTGTATATACTGTACATTGCGTTTTTTTATAGCAGGACTATTATATAGGGTTATTGCACAGGTATTGCTCAGTGGTGGAGTGGGTAGCACTGCTGCCCTGCAGCAAGAAGGTTCTGAGTTTGATTCCCAGCACCAGGTTGTTCTGCATGGAATTTGCATGTTCTACCTTTGCATGCGTGGGTCCAGCCTCTTGCCCATAGACAGCTAGAGATAGGCACCAGCACCCCTCGCGACCCTGCTTGGGATTAACCATGGATGGATGGATGGATGGATGGATGGATGGATGGATGGATGGATGGATGGATGGATGGATGGATGGATGGATGGATGGATGGATGGATGGATAGATTTACATATATACATACATATATATATGTATGTTTATTGCACTGAGTGTCAATTATGGAGAAAAAGGTTATTGCACAGGGTATTAAATAGTTAGCGAACATTATACATTGCACAGTTATGCCATTGTAGTGTTGCATTGTATTAACCCTCTGTCTTAAAGTGGCAAAGAGCTGCACACTGCAGAAAGCTTTCCTTCTTTTCTTTCGACTTTTTTATATTTCAGCTCTCAGTAAGGGAAATGGAAATTTGCTGTTATAGAGTGTCCTCCAATGTGTTAATCTGGTGAAAAGTGCTCTTGACTGAGCAGCCGTATGTCACCAGCTGAAAATAAGAACCTGTCATATAAAGAGAACTCTCCCATCTGGTATTCAATACATTCTTTGGAGCATCATCTTGAAATACAAAAGCAGCTACATAGATATACCACTACACTTCAAACAAATAAATAACAGAAATAAACAGGGCTTTGATTCTGGTAATACAGCCTTGGTAGCTGATGTGGTTTTGTGGCTTTTTGACAGTAAGGGCCTATGTCTCAGAGGATTGGGCCGAGCTACTCGCCTCGCAACAGGGCATGTGTATCAGTTTGCGTGTGCGCAGTTACACGCGTGCCTAACTTCCTGGGTGTGACTGAGTAGATGTTTGTCAGATGTCAGCCTTGCAGTCTTA